CAATAGTAGTACAAGAAAACTAAACTCAGTTGAAAATACAATTGTGTGCATGATGGAGAAGATGTCGACGATGCTATTTCTTGTCTGCATCATTTTTGGGATTGTAGTAATGAGAGGATGCAACGCAACGACATACTTTGTGGGAGATAGCTCTGGTTGGGACATAAGCTCCGATCTTGATTCCTGGACTTTAGGCAAGCGATTCTCTGTTGGTGATATCCTAAGTAAGTATCCACAACACTTTATAACATTTCGTTTTCGTCTATTGATGATCTTATAATCGCTAGACGGTAGTCAATATTTGCTTTATCAAACTTTACTAGAAAAACATCTAAAAGTAATGGGTTTGCATAAAGTTTCATCATGAAAATATTCTTCTAAAACTATGATGTTGATTGGTAATCGGCACAATTAGAATTACATAATAATTTCACGAATCGACTGATGTTATACAGTGCCAAAAGTCTTACAAAGTTACGATATCTATATTATTATCGAAAGTTAAAAAAAAAAAAAAATTATTACATTCCGAAATTTTCCAAATTAATAAGTTATATTCAATTAGTGTTTCATTTGACCTTGTAGATCTTTCCTAGATTCTGAAATTTACGATTTTGCAATGAATATTGATCTAAACTTAAAATGCATTAATTCGTCTAATTAAAATGTTTGACTCTATATCTATAATTTTTTTCTGCAAGTGTTTCAATACTCACCGACACATAGCGTCTACGAAGTTGCGAAAGACAAATTCCAAAGCTGCAACACGACGGACCCGATCCGTACGTTCACAAACGGGAACACGACCGTGGCTCTGTCCAAACCCGAAGAGAGGTTCTTTCTATGCGGTAATAGGCTCCATTGCTTTGCCGGTATGAGGTTACAAGTAAATGTCGAAGGCAATGGTCCATCTTCGGCCCCTGTGGGAGCTCCCCAAGCCGCCACCACAGGGATTATTCAGCCATCTTCGAAGAAAAATAATCCCGCGACTGGAGTCGCCAACTCGGCTGCTCGTTTTGGCAACCGCGATTGGAAGAATAGTATTGGAATTTTTGTATATTTGATGGTTTTTGCATTTCCATTGACATGGTCCTTATTGAGTTAAAAATAAAATGAGAGTCTTCATGTATATGTATCCCTAATTTACTAGTGTGAGTATTTGGTTCAGATTATATATTTGTGTTTTTTTTTTCCAGTTTATTTCGTTTGAAGACTGTGACCAAATTGTTGAAACCCAATTTTTTGGTTTGGTGTAATTTTGGATAAAAGATAGTTTTTATCTATATTTGTTAATTATATGTATAGATAGGGGATAAATAAATAAAAATTGTTTCGGTTTACTTAATTAAGTTTGATTTACATTAATATATTCGGTTAATGACAATAGATTATCTTTTGGATTTGTATTTTTTTTGTTCACTTGGATAACAATAAGGAAAATTTGGTTATATAACCATTAAAAATATCAAAACTTACAAACTAACCAAAATGGGTATACGTGCCAAAATCTCAACCTTTAAATTTAGGGGTTTTGGATAA